TTTTACACCACGTACCACCATTATGACCGACTTGCAGCATCGGCCGACCATATTCATCTGTTGACAGTTCGCACTGGAGGCTGGTTTATTCTTAATAAGATTATTTATTGTTGACTGCTGTTGAATCCTGAAAGGAACTAGTTCAAGAACCAGAGCTAATCTGATGGAGAAAGGGTACTCCTGATCTGTGCTTCTCTTCCTAATAGTTCCCGTTTAGAGCCATGATTGCAGTGTTTTTGAACCATTCATTTTACCTCTGCTTACTATGTTGTCATCATATTTTAGTTTGAAAACTAACCATGGATGTATGCACGCGCTACATGCATGAATGATATTGGAACAAAACTATTACAAAATTACATTTTAGTACTTTCATTCAAAGTATTTTGATATAATTATATCTTTTTAAATAATAAGAAATAATTATAAGAAAAATCAAGGTGAAGCTTTTACCATGTTTGTCTTCTGCACAAAGAAGCAGATTGACAGCATATTGTCATATCTTAAACAGCAGCTTGCTAACATGTTTGTTTCTTGGAAGCTGAAGCTGTTAAACCAGGCCCGTGCAGCACTCCTGTCCCACCTTGACCTATCTGTCACACAGCTGCAGTGTATGGTTACGTTACCGTATATCGTTATTTACAAGGTCAGTACTGCTGCAAGAAAAACAAGGCCTGATAGGAAAACAACAATGATAGGAATGAGTTGAAAGCATGGTTTGAACTTTTGGTAAAGCCTTATGAAGGTTCAGCAGGTATTTTTATGCTTTTGACTCCTCTAGTGTCCAACAAGACAGTATTGATATGATGTGGTTGTTCACATGAGTCTTCTTTTAAAAATATAGCTTTAAGAGGACACTTACGACCGCGCTGTAGGTCTACATGCAATAGTGAAGATGTAAAATAGTGTGTGACCTTGTTATTCAACTATCAGTTACTGTACCTGAGAGATTAGAGGAGAGGGAAAGGCAGAATCATTGCCTCTGGCTTTGTCTTGGACAGAAATAGCTGAGTGGAATCACTGTATTAACTAAAATTACACAGATTTGAATTGTCAGGGAGATTGAGGTGGAAAAGTGACAGCCATGCACATCATAACTCCTCAGGGCAGAATAGTTGGCTGCTGTCACTGCATTTTTGACACTCTTCTCAATCGACACCATATTATTTTCACGGTTTTTGCTTTCAAATAAACTATGGTCCATTGACCCAGTGTTCTTTATTGTGTTTTATAGGAAATTGTATCGAAGTTAAACGGCCAGTTAACCCAAATTAGAAATATATATATATATTGTTACTTACTCTTTAGAGGTATCCAGCCATGCAGATAGTTGTAGTTTTGTTCGGGTCCAGGTTTCCAAGATTTGATTTCTACTGTTTGTGGAACTCACATCATTAGGAATAAATATTTAAAAAATTCAGCAGATTTTTACTGGAACTACTCACTATAAAAATGTTCACAGTGATGTCCGTGGACTATCCAGAGTAACAGGGACGTTGTTTATGGACAGAGATGTTGCCCTTTAAGTTTTTTAATGAAACTATTCAGAACTTAAACAGTCATAATCAATTGAGTCGTTTTAATTCAAATATTCCAAAATATTCCTAGTTGTAGCTTCTCAATTTTAGATATTTTACTGCTTTTTTCAATTTATGTCATTGTAAATGGAATATCTGGGTTTTGGACTTTGGGTTGTACAAAACAAGACATTTGAAGATGTTACTTCATTCCCTGTGATTGTTGTCACGATTTTCCGACATTTAAAAAACATAAAACCAAAACTATTTGCACTGATAGTAAGACAATGTATTATATTAACAGATTTTTGTTATTTGGTTGAGCTGATCCTTTAAGCCTTTGAATGCTGAATTAATAAAACACCTGAAGGCATTTTAGTAAAAAAAAAAAGCTTACAATACTCATACTCATACTCATACAATGTAGGAAGCACTGTCACTGGTTGAGATCAGGCAAACCTACTGACTTTCTCTTTCCAAGAGTTTGTCAGTTCACTTGCTGTAAAATTGGAAAGTGATTGTTTAATGATGAGAGCCAATCAAGACCGAGTCCACTTTGGATGCACAGTGAATATTTATTCTGACACTGATTTTAAAATAGAATGAGTTTTTGTCCAATAAAAGCAATAACTTTAAATATAACTTCCCATCCAAACTCAATATTCCAACACGGCTCACTTTAAGCATCTTTGATCATTCATGTATATAAATTGGTTCACTTTAATCCTGCATACGGTTCATAGGAGACTAGTTCAGGTCTTTGATCACCAATCCACACATTTCCAGCCTCTACTTCACCTTTGCAAGCATAGAACGTTGCCTCTGCTTTCTCTCTTAAGCTTAATCATGAACCAACAGCCACTGTGCACACATCTCTCGCTGTGTGTGTGTGTGTGTGTGTGTGTGTGTGTGTGTGTGTGTGTGTGTGTGTGTGTGTGTGTGTGTGTGTGTGTGCTGACTTGTGACAGCTCTGCTATGTGAGGGAAAAGGGACAGGGAGTGATGGCCTGGTCCTGGCTGGCTTTGATGGACAGTCTAACGTGAGGCTTGGATGAGAAGTTAATTGAATGGGCCACTGCTGAAAAAGAAGAAGAAGAGTAGGCTCTTCTTCTTCAGTGGGAGGACTCTAATAGCTTGGCCGAGCTCACTGCACAACCACTCAAAGGTCAAAGGTCAGAGAGCTGAGAGTGTCCAGATCATCACATAGCACATAGACTGCAGTGTATGGTTTATATGATCCTGTCAAGTTAAATTGCTTTTTAGATTGCAAGGAAAAAAAGTGTATGCGGATGTAAATCATCGGTTTGTGTTTATGAGTGCAGTGGATGCAGCTTTTACTCCGGTCAGTGTGCAGTGAAGTAGCTTTTGGGCCCCTCCACACATGCTCAGGGAAGATCTTGGGAAGTTTTCTTTGCCTCGATTTGACCCCAATTTGAGGCGAGCAAACCTGAAAGTGGAAAAAGTCTTTGAGTGTGTTTGTGTATACTTTAGCTTGTGTGTGTATGTTTGTGCATCTGTGTGTGACGGGATGATGCTGGGAATTAATGCAATATTGGATTTTTCCCGTGAATTATACACGTCTCACTAAACCCGCTGTAAATACTCCTCAAGACACAATTGTAACACAGTTTTTGACCTAGCAGTTGACTAATGTTGCTTGGGTGATGCTATGTCATACTAAGCTATTAAAATATTTATAGATTCACCGTAAATAAAGGGAAAAGTTCCAAATTGGCTAATTTGAGAACAAATTATCTGCTCAACACAACTGCTGTGACTGCTAAGTTGACAGCCAACTACAAGAGTGGATCAACCTTCACGTCACAGCAAGAGCAACTGATCATTTAAAAAGCCTGTTTAGAGTTGCAGATTAAGCTGAACACAGCAGGGCACCTCGAAAATGCTTCACTTCTGCAACACTTCTGTCCGCTGGCTTCAAGTGCAGCAGCTCGGCTCCCCACGACTAATATAGGAGAGCCTGTAGGTAAACAGATGAATAAGCGGATTTAGGCTGCAAGAAGGCCTGGAAAGATTGCTCTCTCAGGGAAACAAACTCTTTTTGTCACATGCAGCACAGAGCTGCCCGGTGTGTTTCCATAGTCCTGAGTCGACAGAGACCGATGGACTGTCCCTTCCTCTCTTATCGGAGCTGCTGCAGCCCTACAACGTCTGGCTGCAGGCCTGCAGAGACCTTCTCTCTTTTTCTCTCAAAGTCACACACACATGCACACTAACACACACATACATACTTTGTTGCATCCACACTTGCTCTTGAATTTTACATAGTTTTACATGGAGTCTTATATGGATCTGCATAACATTAAGGGCACACTCTATTTTTTTTGTTATATATTTGCTAGCCACATTGTGGGTCGGTCGGTCAGTCCAACACTTTGGTCCAAACAGAAATATCTCAATAACTATTTGATGTATTGCCATGAAATATTTTGCAGACATTTATGGTGCACAGAGAATGAAGCCTACTGATTTTAGTGATCCATTGACTTTCAGTCAGTGAAACGTGAAACCTCTCAACAACTGTTGGATGGATGGGATGATGGATGCAAATTGATGCAAACATCATTAGGTTCCAATTTGTCCAATAGTTTGGTTAATGACCAATTACCTGCAAAACTAAAGACATTACCATCAAATTCAACTAATCTGCTGATTATTTATATTACTTAAAACAATTAACAACAACCCCCCCCACCCCCTCACTATTATGTTATTGTACTATGCCTTGCTGAACAGCCAAATGCCTTCCAGGGACAAAATAAAGTTAAAAGTTGATGTTTTACTCTTATGTGTGCAATATAAATCATTATGACATATTGTTCCTCTGTTGCTGGTATGAATTCCCCTCACTGGACTAAAATTCAACCCCTGAAAGACCTCTTCTAATCTATTTCCTCTATTCTGTCCTCATCCTGTCTATTAGTTCACTGTGTCCTCTTCTTTTCCTGCTCCTGTTTGCTTGCCTGTTGTCCCCGAGGGTTGGGAGTCGTTTCACAGCGGATAGAAAATACAGCACTGAGGAGCACGGCTCAAGTGTGTGTCACTGATATTTTATTAAGTCTTATCAGACTGCTGTCTCTCACTTGCCCACTAACCTCTCTGGAGTCTGTCACTCAGCATTTATCTGAATTTCTTAAACACCTGTGGCCACAACTGAGGCGGAGCTGTGAGTCTTAAGGGGGTTTGATGTGTTGACTTGAGCCTGTATTTTATCACGTGCTGTATAATCACATCCTCCTGCTTTAATTCCATATACTTCCTGCTTTATTTTTTTTACCTCCTTTTGGTCCTTCTTGTGTCTTCTTCTTGATTTTTACTCTCCTTCAGTCTTCCTTCTGCTTCTTCTTATTTATCTATTTCTCATCTGATTTCATGTTCTCCCTCAGTCCTGCACTGTCAGGTTCCTCATTCCAGTTCTGCATACCTTTAAATTCCCCCAAACTCTCTCTCTCTCTTTCTCCCTCAGTGTTGTTGCGTGAGGAGGTGGCCCAGCTTCAAGAGGAGGTCCACCTGCTCAGGCAAATGAAGGACATGTTAAGTAAGGACCTGGAAGAAACCCAGGGAGGCTGCTCTGCCAATCTGCTCTCGGCCACCGAGCTCCGTGTGCAGCTGGGTGACAAGGAGCAGGAGTTGGACCGTGCCAAGGAGGCCTTACAAGGTGAGGAACCCAGACTGGGCGTCTTGTTGTTGCACCTAATCCACCAGAGTTGCTTCTTTCAAACAGCTAGTTAGAATATATACAGCAAATACAGATGTCAGAGATTTTAGTTTCTCCCTTTTTATAGTTCAAGCAAGAATGTGTTGTAACTAAATTAAATCTCACCCATAAACAATTATTATAGTAGTAGTATAGTAGTTAGTTAGGTGTTATTTATGTGTCACGAGAAACATTTCCCACATGGAATTACAGGACATCAAAACAAGACCTCTTATGGTAACACATACACAGTAAAACCAAAGGAAAAACATCAGTTATACATCATTATATGTACTTCTATTTGCTGTCAAATCACAAATTCGATGAGGAATAGTAAAAGAAAAAAAAGAAATGCTACAGGCTAAAGGATAAAATACCTTTTTCCTCATCTCCCAGGTTTTCTCTAAGAAACTGGCTAAGTTAAATGTTGTACATTGAATTCTAAATTCTCAAAGTTATACATTCATTACTTACCCTCGATATCAAGGATGCCAAACAATTAGATGAAAATATGTCCATCAAGCCTGCTTCCACTTCTACATTCAGTGCGCGTTAAGATATCAGACTCATTGTTGTGAAATATCCTGTTCTAATTGGACTGACATATGTTGTTTATTTCTAAATGTTCTTTGACTTATGTTCAACAAACAAGAATAAATCATTTAAACAGAACATATTCAAGTCAAACACATTCCCCAGTTGATTTTCTGAGCTGACTCTGTCTTTGTGCATCATCGTTTAAAAAAATCTATTATAGTTTTTATCTGACTCAAGACAGTATTGTGTGGTTCTCAGTAAAAAAGCACAATAGAAAACAAAATGACATTTTCAAATCTGTTACAAACACTATTACAAACCCTCTTTTATTTCTCCAGAGTACAGTTTCAGCACTGAGTCGTAAAATACCTGTGGCACTCGCTTCTAAGATAAATTAAATGAGACACAATTCTCTGTACCATATTTCATCATCATAAAATATACGCAGTTGTGATTTAGTCCACTGACACTGACATTAGCCCACTGTCCATTACTCTCAGCAAACAAAAAGAAAAGTTGTGCCAAAAAAAATGATTATGATCTTCATAATACATTTTATGGTAAATGTCTGACCAGCATTTGTAAACCAATTCTGACTTGTATGTACCAAAGGGTTTAAATGTGTGCACACAAATGACAACTGTGTAATTTCCTACACACAAGATACTATGTATGTATATGTGAATGTGTTTTGACACATTCAGTCTCAGAAATGGGTGTCACCCCCGATGAGCAGCCAAGTAGACTCCAGGTTCACCTCATTTTAATCAACATCCATTAATCATGTCACAGAAGCTTTACTCTGAAATATTAATGTGGTATTGATGTTGACTGGAATATGATGCTGATTATGTAGTATTGGATTGTTTTCATTTATTGTATCAAAACAAATCCAACTATTTTATTATGCAATTCAACAGTTCCCATCTTTGGGAAAGGAGTAGAAAAGGATTATTGCAACAAAAATAAAAGAGGGGAATCCAAAAAGGCACTTGTGTATTTGGTTTGGTTAAACACAAATGCTATGCATGGATCTCTGCTCTGCTCCGAGAGATGCAAGTGGTAAACTGCAAGCTCGTAAACTGTGTTGTGTAACTGCTGCAAAACAGGTTTGAATGTTGAGTTTAAGGCTGAACGTTGACATGAGGAATGCTTCCAGAGTGATACATATGAGCGCAGTTATGAAAAATACAGGTTCCAGTCTTGGCTCTCCATTGAGCAGAGACTCTCAGGGAAGCATTGTTATTTTTTTCTTGCAAAGAGCCCCACTAGTTGCATCATGGCTGATGAGTTATCTCTGCAAGAGAATGAAGTTGAAAGAAATCTGATCCAAATGGTCTTCTCAGGGATGAGTCTCCACATGCCAGCCGAAACTGTTTCATGTATGAATGAATAAGTGCCACTGTGCCACTTATCTTTTGAGATGATTACATCATTTTCTCAGACAAAAACAGAAAAAACAAAACTCCAGCAGCAGCCCCCTATTAACAGAATACATAGTGTCACCTAGTGGTTCCCTGGTGCAATGGCAAAGCTTTGTTTCTGGTTTAGAGGCAACCAAATCTCACTGAAATATTCTATTTGTTATGTTCATTTTGACAGCTGCTCCTTGTTGTACATATATATGTGCTGCTCAGTGTGTGTGAATATTTTGTGTTGTGTTTTACAGCTATGAAAGCTGACCGTAAGCGTCTAAAAGTGGAGAAGGCAGACTTAGTGAGTCAGATGCAGCAGCTGTACACAACACTGGAGAGCAGAGAAGACCAGCTGCGAGAATTCATACGCAACTATGACCAACACCGAAAGGTAACACCAACCCAGCCGGTTTGTCAGTGTTAGCTTAGTGCAGATATATCCTAATTGGTGAAATGCCAAAAGCATGTCTGAAGCAATTTGGAAACAGTGTCTCCATTACAAAGTTTTGCCACCAGAGAACAATTAAGCATTTTATAGGATAACATTAAGGAATTGTTTACAACACACTACAATGTAGTTGTAAGCAGATCTGTATCAGATATACAAGTGTTTAACAACATTTCTTACTGTTACCTCTAAAATGGCCTGTCTCACAGTGTCTTCATGTGTCCACCCTTTTAAGAATACAAGTTTTGAAATAGATTATAACAGAAGCTGTGAAATGCTCCTTGACTCAAAAGTGGAGCCCCATTCATCATACAGAGTGAGTTTGGCGGAGATTAACCATGCCGTTGTGTGTGTGTTTGTGTGTGTGTGTGTGTGTGTGTGTGCTCGTCAGGAGAGTGAGGATGCAGTGAAAGCCCTGGCCAAGGAGAAGGACATGCTGGAGAGAGAGAAGTGGGACCTGAGGAGGCAGACCAAAGAAGCCACAGAACAGGCCAACATACTGCGTTCTCAGATGGACATGAAGGAGAACAGGGTCAAAGAACTGGAGGCCGAGCTCACCATGGTGAGTCACCCGGCACGTGGACACAGTCACAACTTTGTTAAATTAACTCAAGCACATTGGTGTGACCTTAGCATCATTATCTGGTATGTTTGGCGTAAATGCAAACAAGGTGTGGGTTTAGCAATCCCGTCCCTGTATTCATATCAGTTCAAACACATGCAGTAAGCTGCTCTGCTGTATATCCTCATCCCTTCCCTCTCTCAAAGCATTAATTCTTTCTCCGGGCTGGAGAAGAAATTCATGCCTTTTTTCTCTGTGTTGCCGTGTCAGTCCCTCTGCGGTACAGTTGTCAGTCTGCGTGTCATTAATCTCGCTCCTCCCTCGGCAAGTCACAACCACCCACGGATCCTCACATCAAGCTGCATCACAGATCAGATTTGTTGGTACATCAGTGCCAGAGCTGCATCGCTGTCAAGCAGCCAAACCACAAAATATATTTCTACCTTCTCTTTCTTCTTTCCCTTCTCTATTTAAAATTGTATTGTTTCCAACGATTTCCTTTACGACTAAATGGATGTCCACTGAATGCCCTTTCAGAGGCTTCCAATAATAAAATTCTGTGAAAAACATCTGAAATGGACCATTTTTAAGATGCTGTATTAAAATATTGGCTCTTGGTAAAGAGTAAAACTGCTGTTATTGATTTTTTGTTGTTGCTGTTGGCAATAATCCCATGAAAAGACCAAAACCAATAATGTGTTTGTCCATCACTCAATAATTCCCTACCTTTCTGTCGTAGGGTAAATATATTGGGTTTTTTTTAATAAATATTGTCCTAAAACGGATGGGCACTTTAGCTTTTAGCAAAAATCACTCAACCATCAGTAAATAGTATATTTGTTGGGAACTGTTTTCAGCAGCGGATTTATTCACATTTGGTGCTGTAGTGACTATTTACAACAGCAGGTCGGTGAATGTGGGAATGACTCAAAATAAAATGCTACGTGGTTTCATAGTAGTGAAGGAACATGTCACCCAGTGCTACAGTGTGGCCCATTGATGTCTTGAACAACAATGGAGCTCTAAAGCACAAAGGAATATCAAGCTTTGCCTACACAGGCAATATTTGTAGGATCAGTTGTTTTGTGTCCTGATGGGATTTGTTGACAATAAGAAGAAATGATCATCCTTTAAATATAAAGATCCCATATTTAGTTGTGTAGTGTATCGTGCACGGGGGTGTAAATGCACACATTCACACATACAGTGCCTATGTGAGTTTATGTGAGAGCCACAAGAGACACATTTATTTATATGGCACATTTCATTCACGCAATTAAAAGTGTTTTACGTAGTGTATAACAGACATTAAAACATACAGACGAATACAGAACTTAAACCAAAGGAATAATTACCAGAATGAAGAGTGTTTGTTTTACTTTCAGCTCACGCTCAGTTTCTGTTTCTTGTGTGTTTTCCAGGCAAAGCAATCTTTGGCCACTCTAACAAAAGATGTACCGAAGCGCCATTCATTGGCCATGCCTTCAGAGCCCGTGGTGAATGGCAGTCAGGAGTGGGTGATGCAGGCCGACCTGCCGCTCACTGCCGCCATCCGTCAGAGCCAGCAGACCCTCTACCACGGACACACCACGGACAGACAGGGTAGGTTCTATTATCTGATCTGCTAGTCTCTGTGCTGCTTGGTGCTGCTTTTACAGACTCAACATACTAACAGAGGGTTTTCTGGAGGTGCTTCATACTAACTGTGGGAATTTTTCAACCTGTGTGAATATGTGTGTGTACGTATTGTGTGTGTGTGTGTGTCACATTCAGCTGTGGTCAGGATCAGCCCTTGCCACTCTCGCCAGCCCTCTGTCATCTCTGACGCCTCGGCGGCTGATGGGGACCGCTCATCCACACCCAGCGACATCAACTCACCTCGTCACCGGACCCACTCCCTCTGCAATGTAAGAGCTGCCTGGCCCCCTGGACCAAGTAATCACACCTCCACACTTTTCTATAAGTACCTCCCTCCTCTTTGTCTTCTCCTGCTTGTGTCTGTCCCTCTGTTCTGTCGGCCTGCTGGGTGTCAGCCTGCCTGCTTGGTGGTGGTGGTGATGTTATTTTGCATTTAACTTACTTCAAAGTAATAGTTTGACATTTTGGGACATAGATATATGAAGCTACAGCCAGCAGTTAGTGTAGCTCAGCATAAAGAAAGGAAATAGGGGAAAACAGCGAGCCTGGCCATGTCCGTAGGTAGCAAAATCGTACCAACATACAAGCACATCTTGTTTGTTCAATTAGTACAAAAACCGAAGTGGAAAAACTGCAAGTTATGGTGTTGTGGGAGTTTATCTGGTGGACTAATTCTCCACTGGGAGCAGTAACTTCCTGGTTTCTTGTTGAGGTTGCCAGGCAACCACCAGAGGCAGAGGCCAAAATGCAGTCAGCCACATGATCCACCATAAAACCCCCTTATTGTTTCTTTTACGCATTGGTTTCTGAACACATCAAACAAAGATATAACGTGTAAATTAGTGAGTTTAAGATCAGGGGCGGGACCTGAGGGGTTGTCAGTAGGCTTTTACATCACTGTGACGATGGGCCATCCATAGATGGAGGCTCTTTAGAGTTACAGATAACAGCTATTATTAATAGTATAGAATATTTAATGTTGTTTTGCCTTCTTTTTCGCACTGAATCAACAATATAACTAGTAATAATGCGCAGTTCATTAATTGCCAAGAACCCTGTCTTGAGTCTTAACACATTTTTATTCATTTACATTTACAAACGTGACCCTTCCTTGTTAGTGGGTGGATTTTGTCCCCTTTTGACAGAGCCAGGTTAGCCGTTTCCAGTCTTGCAAACCGGCTGCTGGCAACAGCTTCATATTGACTGAAGAGACATTAGAGTATCAATCCTCTCACCTAACTCTCTGTAAGGAATTGATTAAGTTTCCCAAAATGTCCCTCTACTGCTTTAACTGAGCTGTATGAGAGGATGAACCTATAAGCTTCCTGTTTCCTCTGCCCTGTTCAGTCCATGGAGGACCTCGAGGACCAGAAGCGTAAGAAGAAGAAGGAGAAGATGACTCTGGGATCCCTGTCACGGGTGTTCGCTCGGGGCAAGCAGCGCAAGTCAATGGACCCCGGCCTGTTTGATGGTACAGCCACCCCTGATTATTACATAGAGGAGGATGCCGACTGGTGATGCTGAGAGCGTGAACGTGTGTGTGTGTGTGTGTGTGTGTGTGTGTGTGTGTGTGTGTGTGTGTGTGTGTGAAATTTGTGTGGATATCCACCTGGCTTTAACTGTGTGTAATGAGTGTGTGTGTGGGTATGTCTGGAGGGGGGAGGGAGGATTTTAAAAGAATAGCCTAAATGAGACTGCTATGCCCATAAATGTACAGTATATTACTCTTAAATTGTATGTTTGTAAATTAGATATATATTTATAGATGTACATGTATGCATATGTATATATGTTTACATGCATATAAATATATACATGGGGTTATTATTATGTGTAGACATGTTTATGCTGTATTATCTTCAAAATGTCTAAATGTTTTATGTTTTTTTTATAACTGGAGACTTGAAGGACTGCTGTTCATATGTAAATAGGAGTTATTGTGAAACTAGTGTTTTTACTGTAAATGTCATTTGGCTTTTGTTACTTTACAGTTGATTTTATCATGCTTTGCAACATTGATTTCATAGTTTCTTCTTGTTTCCAATCTTACTTGGCTCATTTCTCTCTATAGAGGAGAGGATATTCTCTGATTGGCTTAAAAAATTAATCTCTCGGAGGTTTATTGGCCAAATTCTGTTGTTTCTAACTGCTTGTTGATATAAAAAATAGTACTTTGTTTGAGAGATATTGCTGGTGCAGGATTGTCATCTTGTTTATTTTATACATTGTGGCTCACAGTATTTGCTGATAAAACATATCACAATGTGGGCAGCCGGGAGTTGAGGTCTCCTCATCCATTTTATGCTAAAAACTATATTCTCAGTTACTATAATTAATGACTGGCTAGCAAGGGTCTTAGAGTCAGTCTTCCCTAAGAAAATGTAATTGCACAGACCTGAATGCACAAACAAAAAAAATTTACAGTGATGCATATTCAGGCACACCTCTCACCTGCTGTTGAAACCATGTGCAAGTGCCAAAGGTTAAATGTCATCTTTAGAAAATCTGCGTATCATTCTGTCACTGTTAGCGCTAGCCTCGTAACATTGTTTGTCTGACTCATTTCTTACTGAGAGCTATCTAACATGTGCCAACATGTGACGAAGGAATGTGCATGATCCCTCTGTGTTGCTTTGATTATATGTTCATTCATTGCCAATCAAATTAATAATCTCCACAATCCTGTGTTGCTCCTGTGTTGCCTTTTCCCTTTTATCGAGTTATCTTTCCTGCATTATGAATGCACGGCCCCTTTTATTTATTTATTCTTTTTTTTTTGCTGTTTTTGTTTTGCTTTCTGTAGAATCCCTCCTCATTTATTGCAAATGTGGCTCTAATAATTATATGTCAAATGCTTTGTAATTAAGGAGATGTTCCATAAAAGATTAAAATTTATTGAAGTATTTTATTTAAAAAATAAGACAAACAAGAGTTAACTTCAAATATTTATCTGCTGCAGATGTTGCAGCCAGATGTTGAGGAGGTTTTAGCATTTTCAAAATGAATTATAATTGAAATGAAATCTTATTTTAAAAATAAAACTAGTAACTGAATACATCCTATGTGGCAGTTTTCTGTTCCATGAGTAATCTTGTTCTTGTGTCCCAGTCTAACGTGTCTCTCCCTCTCCTCCTGCCATTTCTAATGGCAACTCTCTCCTGCCAGTGAGTAACTCCTCATCTGTGATTACCAGCTGTCTGTTTCTGCACTCTGGGATTATTCATATGACTCAGGTCCATTGGAAAAAAATCAAGTTTGTGTCATTTTTTTTGTGGAAACTCTTTTAAAAGAGATGGTGGACTTTGCATGCAGCATTTCTGTCAGCATGTGGGGACGAATCAGGTAAACACACTTCAGTTCATCCTGGATTCGTCGGTTCAGTGTGAATCCGTGTTTTCCTGTGGTTGAGATGAGCAGTTAATGGGCAGAAGCATGATGTTTTATGAATAATCCCTGTGTCTCTAATACATTATCCTAATGGTCTAAAGTCCCCTCATAATCATCAGATACCTAGTATTTTAACAACTTTACTAAACACGGTACTGTAGTATTAGAAGTTGAGGGACTGCTATACTCTCATGAAAGAAATAAATAGGTTGTTTATCTTTTGAATTTCAACACCATTTCAGGTTTAGATGAACCCCAATCCTGTAGTTTTGTTAATTTAAAAAAATATGTACATTTATTTTAACCTTCCAATATAGTCTAGTTCATTCAAAGACACAGGAAGTGTAGCTCCAGTGAATTATTTTGGCTCCATCTAGTGGTCATATAGTGCGATTGCCAAACATTTTATGTCAATATTGGTAAAAGGAAAGGGTTGAAACTATTTTCCATGCAGTTGACTAATGACTCTGACTTGATTGATATTAGTAAACACAAGAAGAAGCCATAAAGGCATATTTCTATTGTTGCTATAGAAAAGAGATTCTGGCATTTAGTATAACATCCAGTTTCTTGCTTCATATGGTTAAACACTGATGTGGAGGTGTATTTTTGATGCAAATACCCTCCAGTTCTGATGTTACTCTGTCTCTAGATGAGTCATTTTTTTGATTTCCATATCCCTCTGACCCTGAACCCCCTCCTGTATGCCACACCATAACTTCTCCTGACCAATCCAGACTCTGACAGCCTCACACAGCAGAGCCTGTCTGATGGAGAGGAGCAGCTGGACCGCCTCCAGCAGGCGGAGCTCACTCGAAACACATGCATGTCGCTGTGGAGGGCAGGTGCAGTCCAGGCCTGGCTGGAGGTTGTTATGGGAATGCCCATGTACACTCGAACCTGCTCAGAGAACGTCAAAAGTGGCAAGGTACACCTTCTGTGCTTCTATTGCTGTTTGTTTGCTTTGTGCTTGAGGGTGGGGTGGGGTTTGAGCAGATGGGGATATTTAGATGCTGTTATTGTCTGATAATGAACTGGATTTGTGTTTTTTAGGTGCTACTTGGCCTGACAGATGAGGATTTAGAGCTGGGTCTGGGTATCAGTAACCCAATTCATCGCAGGAAACTAAGACTGGCCATTGAGGATTACAGGAGAGCTGAAGGGGACCAAGGGTGAGCAGCAGCTAACAAAAATAATTGTTAGTTGTTTGATAAAAAAGATAATACTTTTTAAAGTAAGTTTAATATTACTGATCAGCAATGGCAGGTAACTAAGTACATTTACTCAGTTTCATTACTTACTTTCATGTAATTAAGTACAAATTTGAGGAACTTCCATTTCATGCCACTTCTACTCCGCTGCAATCCAGACTGTTGTGTTCTTTTTATTTCACTATATTTACTGTATTTGACAGCTCTAGTTACAGGACACGCTGCAGATTAAGATTAAAATATGATGAGTTTATTAAATATGATGTATGGTTGTTAAACCACCCAACAGCGTATAAAATAGTTAAAATGATCGCCATCTGGACCAGAAGCAAGCTGCAACAGAAAAAATCTATAAAGAATAAAAGACAATTTTTTTGCATTAGGAGTATTTTTACTTTGACACTATAAGCACATTTTGTAACTTATATACTTTATATATAACATTTGAATGCAGGCAGTATTTTTACAGTGTGATATTGCTACTTTACTACTTGCTGATCGGTGGTGTATAATCATCTTCTAGACTATCAAAAGCATCCGAGATGGATCATCACTGGGTTGCAACATCATGGCTGAGTGACGTCGGGTTGCCTCAGTACTCCCAGTCCTTCCAGACTCATTTAGTGGATGGGCGAGTGCTGAACTCTCTGAGCCGCAGAGACCTGGAGAGATTCCTTAACATCAGCGACCAGTACCACCAGACCAGTCTACTCCTGGCCATCCAGCTCCTGCAGATGCTCAGTTTCGATAAAGAGGTCAGATTATAGATCTACAGTTACAGTGAGATTCGATGCAAAGCTATCAATAGTGAGTGAAGTCTCCTTAGCAGTTGTTCCTCAATCCCTATTTTACTTACTCAATAAACTGCATGTGATGTCCATTACTATCCACCGTAGCTTGAGGCACAAAGAATCCCGTGCTGCTGCATTATCTCAGCAGGTCCTCGTCCTTCCCTGACCTCTCTCTGTGCCACAGAAGTGCTTCTGCAGTTATCTGTGTGTTCCATCTTCGCAGGCCCTGCAGGCACGGCGGGCAAAATGTGAACACCAAGACCGGGACCCCATTGTTTGGACATGTCACAGAGTAATGAAGTGGATCAGAGACATAGACCTCAAGGTGGGTGGGAGGTCAATTACGGTGTTCCCCTTTTTTCTCTAGAGAATTGTAAAGCAGATCGTAACCAGATAGCACCACTAGTAGTTTCTAAGACTCTAAGAAGAAGGAAAAGAGTGGCATATACACAGAAATGTAAGAAAATACCACAGTGTTGATCCTCAATGACATCTTTTTTCAGTATCCCCTAGGTATTTTTGTAGCTCTAGAGACTAAAACACTATTTCTGCCCACCTCACCTGCATCTGTGTTGTGCTCTTCAGGAGTTTGCAGACAATCTTCAGGGTAAAGGGATTCATGGAGCTGTGATGGCTCTGGACCCGTCCTTTGACACAGATGCCATGGCCAAAGCCCTGGGGATCCCCAGCAACAAACACATGCTGCATCGTCACCTGTATGAAGAGATGAAATCACTCGCTGTCCCTCACAGGTAGATTTAAAAACCCTCAACCATTATATCCTATTTTTAAAGCAACAACTACATCCTTTACAGTTATTTTTTGTCTTAAAGTATGGCCACGTTCTATTGAATCTTGTGAAAATAAATGTGATTGTTCTAAGAATTAAACTAGAATATCATCCACACATAAATGAATGTCTTGTATTCACTGCAGTGAACAGGGCAATGAGGTTATCGGTTCCTCTTCACCCGTGGCTGTTAACCGCTTTGCTGAGGAGAGGATGTCTATGAGAAGATCAGCCAAGGTATAATTTAATTTCATACTTATTATTATTATTATTATTTTAACATGTCAAATTTACCTGGAACATATGTTGCACATATGCAAGTACATTTGTCTTTTGGGGATTTACAATCTGTGCAACATTAAACACCGTCTGTCCTTAGACCCCTGATTTTAAATCACAAACAAAATCACATTACACAGACAATTTGATGACACAATGTCTGATACATAAAAATTATAAAATATATCTTTTAGAGGTGTCTTCGTGGACTAGTGGTTTAAGGCATGTACAATATTCAGCGTCCCTGGTTTGATTCTGGCTGGGTATCTTTGTTGCATACCTCTCTCTCCCCTGACGTTTCACATCTGTCTTCACTTTAACTGTCAAATAATGGCTAGAATGCCAAAAAAAACAAACAAACAAAAGGACAACTGCAGAACATTTTTATTATTATTCTGCTTGACAAAACTATTTGAAACCAGTAGCTGAGAAACCCTAATACAATTAAACTGCTCTACAGCTGAATTAAAGTCTTCTCTCATTTGTTAGAGAATGTTCCTTAATGCAACATGTATCTTTGTCTGAAGAGATGTTGAGGTGGACCGTTCAATTTGGTGGAAGGTTTTGGAGACATTGTTCAGAAATCTGTTTAACTGGTTGTTGCAGCATGGTGTTACAGTGTGTACATTAAAAAGAGGAAAATGCAACTGAAACTGTATTTGTTCACCTAGTATGAAGTCAATGTAATTGATAGTTTTTATGACACACATTCATACCTTGAAGCCCAGTACAACCATATTGAGGATAACTTTAAAGATTAAATTTAAAATGGAAAAGTCAAAGTGAAAATGGCAAATAAACTATTGTTATATTGTTTTTATGGGACAGTTTAACTTTATTATCAGCTGTTAATATTTGACATTTTTAAAAAGGTCAAAGCCCTATTTTGGATTCAACATCTTAAAAGAAATTCCACATTCTTATTTTTATGCCTTTTCATTTTTCCAGAGTCCACTGAGGTTACGTGCAAACAGCCACTCTGTGGAGCGAAGTCTGGGTTTCCACGGCAGCTGCGGCTCTCTGCCCAGAGAGGCCAGAGTTCAGGCGGTTCCTCGGGCCAAAGGCAGCCCGATGCATACCTTCAAGAGTGTTGAAATCACCAACGTCTGAACCAGTCTCCAGACATCGACATCGCTCACGTTGTTACTATTGTTTACATTGTTACTGTATTATAGTTGTTTACTACTGAGAGGGACCTACACTCAGCATACAACCAGACTTTTAACAAGGAAGTTGTCTTAATGGGGGGTGTACCACTTAATTTAGTAATTCAAACATATTACTATTTTGGCCAAAATAAGAATAAGAAGCTGATGTTGTAAATATAATGAAAAGGAACAGAGTCAGTATTGTTTTTTTATATTATAGAAGGATTTAGAATAACCTACAAAAATAACTGAACACAGTGTTGTTCTCCTTTGATGCCTTATATGAAATAGGTCACACAGCACTGCTCTTCTCTTTCAACTATTTCTTTTCAACTATAACGTGTCAGTTAAGTTTTTTTTGTTGTTGCACATGTAAGTGATTAATTCTTCTTGAGGTCAAGGGGAAAAAAAGTAATTATAACTTTCACTGTAGAACTACATATCCACTGTTAACCTTCTGAGGAGACTGTGTTACGTCAGAGGCTACATACATGAGTGAGATGTTTTGGTCGATGCAAGTTAGTCATCACAGATCTTATTATTACTGTAATACATAGTAGACCGTCGTTTAAAATGTGGCAGAGCTACATTTGCCACCAAAATGGCTAAGAGGTACAACTTTTATGACATATTCTAGCATACAAGACAATCTTTAACATGGATTCTGTACTTTTTAAAACTGGTAGTGTTACATAATATAATAATTTAATTCATTTTATTAACAAAATCTAAATATATATATAAGATAAAACATAAATTTAAATGTTGGGTTTTGAAAGTGATAACGTGTAAAGCAAATGGCCTCCACATGTTTATACTGAAGCACTGAACAAACTGTGATACTGCTATACTGTTACTTATATTATGAACTCAAAGGAGAGAATGTAATGGTATATTTTGTACAGTTTAATCATGTTTTATAACACACACTTGTATACAGGTTGCTGTTCCTGAGCATGAAAACAAAAACGAAATGTCACAGAGCCAAACTGTGTGCAGCTGAAAGCCTGGGATTAATCCAAATATTGGAAAACAGGTCTGTCTGCTACTTAATGGGCGTCTCCTCCAGTCAACAAGAGCAAAAGTTGATTAAGCGGGAAGATTAGACTAGTTCAAACCTGTATAGAAATACAAGGGAAGGACTCAAATGGGGTTTGTGTTTATATGACATTTACTGTCTCTCTTCACGCAGTTGTCAGAGCTTCTCATGTATGCCAACATTAAAGCTGAAATTATTGTCAACTACCACACAGAGTATAGGCTCGTTATTGTTATATTTCAAGAAGAATGCATTAAAATCTGTTAACTCTTTAACAAAGGTTGAAAAAACTTCATCAGCTAAAGTTATTATCCGATAAGGTTTGTGGAAAGATATGTGTATTTTTAGTGATGTGCAGTTTTATGATATTTCAAAAATAATTTGTCCCATTAGCTTGTTTACTAGTTTGTTATAATATGTGTTTGAACTGAATAATGCATCACAATTCCTGTTAGTAATTTTTCTTCTCTTCTTTAAATACTTTATTTAACTGCTGTCCGACACACATTCATACCTTGAAGCTGCCCAGTACAACCATACTGAGGATAACTTTAAACAAGATTCAATTTAAAATGGAAAAGTCAAAGTGAAATGGCAACTAAATGGATAAACTATTGTTTTATTGTATTACTCAGGACAATCAGGCCTTAATCAAATAGCAAACAACCACAGTCCCCTCCACTGGCCTCTGAGCAGAGCAGGTGGGGGTTAATGGCTGTGTAGCTCAGGGGTGGTAATGAGGGAAGAGTGCTGCTCTTTCACCAGATTCATCCAGCCCATCCAGTGGTGATAATAATTATAACAATACATTTTATTTATAAGACACTTTACATAAAAACATAAAAGCAGCAAAACAACATCAAATAGTAAAACAATAAAAACACACTAAGACTAAGCTAAACATTAAAAGCAATTTTAAAAAGGTGAGTTTTTGTCAGAGATTTGAATGTTGGAAGGTCGGTACAGTCACGGATGTGTTTGGTGAGAGAGTTCCAGAGGGAGGGGGCAGCTACAGAGAAGGCTCTGTCGCCCCAGGTTTGGTGCTTGGTCCTGGGTGGTGGAGTCAGGAGGTTTGCATCAGATGAGGGGAAGCTACAGGATGGATTGTGGCGATGGAGCAGGTCAGTGAGGTAGGAAAGGGCCTGGTTATGGGGGGCTTTGTGTGTGAGGAGGAGGATTTTGAACTGAATATGTTGTGGGACCGGGAGCCAGTGGAGGTTCTGGAGGACAGGGGTGATGTGGTCACGGGTGTGGGTGAGCAGACGAGCAGCAGAGTTCTGGATGTACTGGAGTTTTTTTAAGGTTTTGGATGGTGTGCCATAGAGGATGCTGTTACAGTAATCGATTCTGGAGTTGATGAAGGCGTGGATGAGGGTTTCTGCAGCAGAGAAGGAGAGTAATGGGCAATTGGGCTATGTTTTAGAGGTGAAAAAAGGCAGTTTTGGTAATATGTTTTATGTGGTGTTCAAAGGAGAGGTTATTGTCAAAGATGACTCTGAGGTTGCGACTGTGAGGGGATAGAGACAGAGTGGAGGTGTCGACAGTGAGGAAGAAACTGTGAATGGTTTTAGTGATGGATTGGGTGATAATGATCATGTCTGTTTTGTCGCAGTTAAGTTTGAGGAAGTTGGTGTGCATCCAGGATTTAATGTCAGTGAGCCAGTTGGAGAGAGTGGAGTGAGTGGCAGAGGTGATGGATTTGGTGGGGATGTAAAGCTGGACATCGTCGGCATAACAGTGAAAGTTGAGACCATGGTGGCGAATGACGTTGCCAAGGGGAAGCAGGTAGAGTATGAAGAGGAGAGGACCAAGCACCGAGCCCTGGGGGACGCCTTGGGACAGCGGAGTGGTGGAGGAGGTGCAGTTGTGGATGTGGATGAACTGTTGTCTGTCAGTGAGATAAGATTGAAGACAGGAGAGGGCAGTGCCAGTGATGCTGAGGGAAGATTTGAGGCGGGAGAGAAGAATGGTGCGGCTGATGGAGTCAAAAGCTGCAGTGAGGTCCAGGAGGATGAGGATGCTGAGGTGACCAGAGTCTGCGGAGAGGAGGATGTCGTTGGTGACTTTGAGGAGGGCTGTTTCAGTGCTGTGCTGTGAACAGAAGCCGGATTGAAATGGTCTGAACAGGTCATTTGAGCAGAGGTAGAACTGGTTACCTTTTAGATCACCACTGCCCCTGTAGTGATATCATTGCCTGATATGCTATGTGACAACATTTTATAAATAAAATAAAATTGAATAATGTATTACAGTAAAACATGGTTAATGTTGTATTTAACGAGTTTTAAGTGATCATAAAAGGGGACAAGTACAAGAATGTAGGATAATATAATTCTCAATTTATTTTACTTTTATCTTCTCAGCAACCATTCAGATTTATACGGAGCCCCTAAAGGGACATGGGGAAAAAAAAAAAATGAAAAATTTCTAGTGCGCACTAGAAACGTTTTATTTTTTTTTCCCATGTCCCTTTAGGGGCTCCGTAGATTTAATATTAAAGCAGCTACAATTAACCTTTTTTGTTGATTCTGGCGGCCCCTGTGGATGAACATGGTAGTGTTTCCACACCTCTATGATTTCAAGGTTAAATCCAACCACAACCAACCCGGTGGCAGGAATAAAGAATAATTACAGAAATCTTCTCTTGGATGGTCCTGTTTGTTTATGGAGTTTATATGGAGACATCAGTATTAAACTGAGACTGTTTCATAACCTGTTAAAAACTCTGTGTAATGTGGTTAAAGCTGCAATAGGTAACTTTTATAAAAATACCTATTTTCACTGTGTCCTAACAGTAATGCATGAAACAGATAATCTGTGAAAAAATCAGGTTCCTCTGACTGAATAACGCTGCTAATGGAATTTAAAAGAATCCACTGGTCTTGAACGAAAACAACCAATCAGAGCAGAGAAAGATATAAAGAGGCTTTGGGTTGGAGGCTTGAAGAGATTGTTGAGACTCAATCCCAGGGTCCCAAAGCATCTGGGAATGAGACTTGACAATCAACTATGTTTCCCGGCTCTCATTGTTTGTTTTCATTCTGGCAAATATTGATTAAAAGTCATTTTTAAAGCTAAACTAGTGAATATGACCTAGTTCCAGATTCCCAATTGTGAGGATTTACTGCAGCTCTGGAATATTTTTGATCAACTATTTTCAATGTTAGTGACAGTGATATATTACAGCCATATTATTATTGTTGTTGTTGTTTTAGAGAAATTCTGAATAAATTAAGATTAAAGTAAACTAAAGAGGACGAGGATATTATTCAGTCTTGTACTTAAAACCACAACGTTAACCATGTTTTATTTTACATTATTCAGTTTCAATGTATCTCATTTTTTTTATTTATTAATCTGTTTCCGGGTGTCCCACTCATTTGCGCTCAGAGGACGTGTACCTGAGCGGCGCTAGGACCACGCGGAAAACAGGTCATACAGTCACTTTACAACCAGGAGACAGTCTGGGGTTTCACTACGGCTGGAATTTAAACTAAGTTCCTCTCAATTACATTGTAATCTGTGGCGGTAAAACAAACAAACAAACAAAAAGCGCTTTGAGTTATTTTAAAATCTCAGTTGAACGGGGCGTGAAGTCGTTTGCGTTTATGTCTTCTTCCTCTTTTCCCCTGTGATCTTCCTGAAAACACCTGCGTGCTTCAGGTAACTCACCGATGAAGAGGGAAGTCCCTGGGCAGTGAGCGGTGAAAAAGGTAAGGCCTCCTCCAAGATCAACCTTTACCACGAAAAGACCGGATTAAGTATAAGTAATAGCAGAGGCTTGTAGTCGGGTTGTAAGTGTGACTGTTTAATCGGAGCTGTGTGCGGGGGAATACGTTCATAGTGAAGCTCCTGTGAAGGGACAGGTCCTCCCTCTTAGGTCCCTTCCTACTTTAGAAACAATAAAAGCTCTGGCTGCACACTGGCCGAAGGAGGCACACACTCGCACTCTTTAAAAAAAAAAAAAAAAACACTTTCTTGCGCCGGTAATGTTTCACTGGTGTTGCAGTTTATGTTACTCATACAGAAGCCTGTGAGAAGCCTGATACAAGCAGCAATTAGGTTGGTGAGTATAACAGCAGAGACTGCTTTTGATGTTTAAAAAAGGACACACCCATGCACACCGTCCAGCAGGCCTGCAACATGCAGAACAGCTCAAGTGTGTGTGTGTGTGTGTGTGTGTGTCAGCCATTAGTAATGACACAGAGGGTCAGCATACAGTGTCATGTTGTCCTTCAAAGTAACAGAATCACAGAAAACAACACAGTGATACGATGCTGTCACCATATTTTGGCCCTTGATAATGATGGTAATACAGTAGCTGTGGTTCTATATATACTGCAAGTCACTCGTCTGCAGTCCATATATATATTTATGCTACTGAAGAGGAAAACAGATGTCTAAGTGGCAGGATAGTGTATTATATCTGAGATCAAAGCTATGTGTAACATAGTCACTGATCCTCACTGGTTCCAATACCCGCTTATTTACCGATACTGATCTGATAAAGGCGCTTCCTCTTTCACACACATAAATCTGTATCATTAGAATAATTCTTTGTGTAAGTTAACCTGAGGGCCAGGGATTACCGTAGCACTAAAAACTGAGTGGGTGGCCCTCTGTGACTTAATGAATGTGATTAATAGCTGAATTTACACTGTCATTGACTAAGAAACTGATGTGAATTATTCATGTTAGAGCTGATGTTTGATCCATTGAATGAAATCAGTACTGGCCTCCGATCTAGTGTATCTGATTGGTGCATCTCTCTATCAAAGTGCACAGAGCCTCATACTTAATTCCCTCATAATTTATTTGTTAGTGGTATTATGGCTGAAATCAACAATATTATTATTTTCCCAGTATTGATATATTACAATATGACACATGTAAGCAATGTAAAATAACCTATACAATCAATTTTTATTGAATTGTTGCAAATTATGTGTGTTTTCTTGATGGGGCGGCGTTCTCCAGTCACTCTTAGTTGGCATCAGTCTCTTCACACTCACAACTGTCCTCTTTTTTTTAAAAAAAAGAAGGAGTTGAAATGACTCTGAAGCAATGAGACAATGTGATTATATTGTCACTATATGACACTGAAAGTTGACAATAATGTCTGACTGCAGGAAAGGAAGGAAACACCTGCTTCACCATCACAAGGAAATTGACTGTGGTTCTGAATAACATGTTCCACTGACCAGATCAG